TATTCATAGTTTTCAGTGACTAGTGATTCGGAAGTAGTTTGTCACTCTTTCTTCCTAGTCTGTCTTTGTTTGGAAGCTCATCTGAAACCTGTCCACCATGAGTGACCCTGCTGGTTGTTTAAAATACCGGTGGCATAGCACTCAGAATCACAGCAATTCAAACCACCACAGCATGACAGACAGACGAGTGGCGGTTGCGTGATTGCTGTTAAATAGGAATCTCCTTGTGCTATGGCCCTTAAGACCGGCTCAAAGGCAGGATTTCCATCCTCGGATGTCAATCAAGAGGCGGAAGCGCAGCAGGGGCGACTGGGTTGTAGTGAGACGCTTTGGGCTGTACTTGTGAGTCTCTAAGTTGGTCGACCCCACCTCAAAGCCAGGATCCAACAGTTAGGCTAGGACGGTGCTCTCGCGTCCTGGGTAAGTAGGACAGCCTGGCCGGCCCCTGCAGTCTCTTCCCGCTAGACAGCATCTCCCCATCGACCTGGTCTCCAGACACCTCTCACCCCGCTACTCCGTGGTCTGGATTTCATTTAACACCTCCACCAGGTCTGCTTCCCTTACCTTCCCACTAATATGCCACCACACACATACATCCCATTCAGTTCAACGCTTTTGGACTGCTTCTCCTTTCTTTACCCCCTTGAAAAAAGTAATTTCAGAAGCAAGTGCACTAGCAATCATTCCTTTTGTTTTTTGGCCTATGGATAGGATCAAAGCTATATTCAGACTAACCAGATTCAGGTACAAAAGGCTTTAGTTAATTCTTCCTCATTTTCATCCTCCCTTGAATTCTCTTTGCTGACAAGAACAAATGGTCTTCCTCATCTGTTGCCTTCTGAGCTAGCTTTTGTCGTTGTTAGGTGCCATCAAGTTGATTCTCACTCATACAGATTCGATGAGATAAGTAAAAAAATTATTGCTACTAGGGTTCCAGTTCATGCATACATAGGTTTATTCCAAACAAAATATGTTCAAACATGTCTCTGAAAATCAGTGGATAACTGCTGACAAACTTCTTTCAGTAATAACATTTGTCTTAGTCTCATTAGGATGCCTTCAAAAAAGGGCATACTTTTTGTATCAAGGGAAAAAAATGCTACAGCCCTGTTCTTGCTCCTTTAGACTTCTTTTTGTTCCCCAAATTCAAAAGAATTTTTAAAAGGAACATGATCTGAATCCCATAAGGATGCCAGACTGCCATTTCTATACAGTGTCCATCAAAGAGCCCAGAATTCCTCAGGGAAGGATTAGAGAGATGACAACATTGCCTTTACAAGTGTCGAGCCCTACATAGAGAACAGTAGCTTCACATTTTGATATTTTTGTTAAATAAAGGGTGAGATAATACACTGAACCACAAGGTCGGCAGTTCACACTCAACAGCCACTCCTTGGAAACCCTATACAACAACAATGCTATTGTAGCAATACTTTTTGATATACCCTTGTATGTAAAAGGGGACTTCAAAAGGTTAATGGAAAACTGGAATTAAAAGATAGTGGAATGTAAAGCTAATGTTCTCCCATGTAAACTATCACATAATTCACAATAAAACATTTTAAATAAAACCAACACAACTCTTTGAAGCCCTCTCCATACAACAGAATGAAACGCTGCCTGGACTTGTGCATCGGGAGCATAGCTAGGCCAAATTTGACCTTTGTACTGAGATGCAGAGCTGTCTGAGGTCTTCTGTGCTTTCTTTGTGGCTTAAGCCTCCTTTTGAGAATCTTTTTCTTCCTTTGGTCCAAGACTAGGAAAATACCAGTTCCCTGGTACATGGAGATGGTTTTGCAGTTAACAGGAGTGAACAGCTTTGGGTCATAATTTTAGTGGCTCCGAAAGCCTGATGTTGCCATCAGATGTGACAATAAGGGATTCTGTTCTGGTGGTTCAGGGCCCCTGTGTCCAGAAGGTCTGTGTCAGCTGTACTAACTTTGTTTCCTTCCTCCAGGTTGGTTTATAAGTGGTTCCTGCTGATCTATAAAATCAGTTATGCTACTGGCATCGTTGGCTACATGGCTGTCATGTTTACTCTCTTTGGTCTTAACTTACTATTCAAGTGAGTATCTTTTTTTAAACTTTTTCATTATGAATTGAATGATGGTTTACAGAGTAGATCATCAATTTTACATTCAATGTATATATAGTTTGCTTCATCTAATTCATTACAATGTCCTCAGTAGCATCACTTATCCCACTTTCTCTCTGCTTCCTACTTCCGTTCCCCCTTCTGAACTTTGTCTCTAGGTAAATGCTGCCTTTTTTTAAATCTCAACTGGCTGATTATTCTATAGTGTGTATACCTCACTAGTGTTGTTGTTCCCCTTATAGAGTTATCATTTGGCTGAAAATTGAGCCATGGGGGTGAGTTCATATCCAGACCTGAAGAGTAACCAAGGGCCATAGACTTGGGGGTTCAACTAGTCTCTCTCTGACAAGTGAGCCTGGTCTCTTTGATGATGTTAAGCTTCGTTACACATTTTCTCCCCTTCTCTCCAGGACCATGTAATGGGAATCCTTTCAGAGTACTTGGCAGGAGTAGCTGGGCACCCTCTAGTTTTCTGGTCTGAGGGTCATAGAGACTGATATTCGAGTGGTCCATTAGTCTGCTGTTTCTATGTATCTTTGATTTTCCTCATTCTTCCTTCCTCCAGACCAGGAGAGACCAATAGTTGCACCTTAGATGGCTGCTCACAAGCTTTTAAGATCCCAGCTGCTACTCACCAAAGTAGGATATAGAACATTGTCTTTGTAGACTATGTTATGCCAGTTGGCATCAGTGTCCCCTGAGACTATGGTCCTGAATTCCCAAGCCCAGCAATTCATTTTCTCAATGTGTTTGATTATGTCTAAGACAATTGAGTACCTTTTGTTTTTGTTTTTGCTGGTGTCTAGGGAGAGGAACTAGTGAAATGTATACCTTTCTTCCTAAGAACTTATTTGTACAGAAAAGACTGTAATAATAAAAGTAAACAAGTTGTAGCCAGTCACTCATAACTTATCATCCTGATAGAACTATATTCCCTGGCCTTGTGGGTATTTTTTATTGAAACTTCCTTACTGCCTGAGGGGTGTTAGGTTCAATTAGACAAGGAGTTAGCAAACCATATCTGTAGGCCATGTCTAGCCTGCACCTGTTTTTTAAATAAAGTTTTAGTGGAACTGAGCAATGTTCATTTATTTATGCATGATCTATGACTATTTTTGCAGTTGAGTAGTTGTGACAAACTGTATGGGCTAAAATTCCTAAAATATTTATTATATAGCCCTTTACAGAAAAAAATTTCCCAGACCCTGGATTAGACTGACTCTTTAGACCACAGTTGGTCACACCTGGCAGCAGTTCCACTTAGAAGGACACAAAACAGGAAACAGCAGCAGGGCAGTATCTGCAGAAACCTCAGCAGTCTCAAGACTGTTCAATAGCATGATAGCTGAGGTGTCAAGAATGTGGGGAGCCACCAGTGTGGTGCTGTGGGGTAATGTGCTGGACTCCAAGGTCAGTGATTCAGGCTCACCAGCTGCTCCTTGGGAACCCTATACAGGGTCGCTATGGGTCAGAACCGACTTGACAGCACTTAACAACAACAACAACAACCCTGACTTAGAAGTCCCATGTCCCCCTAGAGATACGTTCAGTTTCAAGAATGCACCACAGTCAGGCAAGCCCAAAACTGCCTACCACCAGGTAATATAGATCATTTACACATCTAGTCCAGATGTAGTACACTATTACAGATCATGTTTAACACAGTATTGTTGTCTAGGATCACAGATGGCATTCCGCCTTTATCAGGTTTCTAGAAAGTTAACCTGTGGACATTGAAATCCTGCTTCATTGTTGGGCAAGTAGATTGTTTTCAATTTAGTAAACATTGTATTGCATCCAAAGGGTGCATTTCCGGGAGTAAGATTTTGGCTGTTGCTTCATATTGTCATAAACCTTTCCAAAAGATATATACTGGTCCCAGATTTGTACAACTCCGAAGGAAGCAGAGCTCTTGGGCTATAGGACTGGAAGGCAGGATAAATAGGTGATACAGAGGAGAGTGAAGTGTGGTTTCCTGGCAGAAATCATGGTGGCTGTGAGCCGTGAATAATGAAGAATCCTCAGCTTGGAACAGTGCCCTGAAGCTAATGAGATTTAGGGTTCACAGTCAGGTTCATGCATAGGATGACTAGACATTAAGCAGGAGTCTCTTTGAAAGTTTATTTTAAGACAAGTAAAAATAAATCTTGCTTTACATAGTGGGAGGAACTCCATGAAATTCTTTCTCCCAGGAGCAGTGCAGGCTAAAAGAAAAAGGAGATTACCAAAAGATGTAGAGAAATTTATCAGGGTAGAGTCTTAACACATCTCATCACAGGAAACCCAAGATATCTCTGGTATATTCTTAACCTATATGGTTAAAAAAAGTTTCAAGATTCTGCATTATGTTTTAAAGATTTTTTTTCTGTAACTGCCACTTCGTTTTACCTTGCCTAAACTATGCAAGGAGTCCTGGTATGGTGCTGTGTGGGTTACTGTGCTGGACTGCAAAGTCAGTTTGAACTGCAAGGTCGGTGGTTCAAGCTCACCAGCTGCTCCTCAAAAACCTATACTATAGGGTCGCTGTGGGTCAGAACAAACTTGATGGCACTTAACAACAACAAACTATGCAAAGGAAAAAGCAAAATTGGAAATCGTCATCATTTTTATGCCATTGATTTGGCTAATTGGCAGAACAATAATGTCTGGGGTAAGTATTACAAGGTTGAGCAAATTAAACTTTCTGTGATAAATATATATGAACCCTGGTGGCATAACAGTTCATTGCTTAACTGCTAACTGAAAATGAAACGTTGGCAGTGTGAACCCACCTAGTGACTCCACAGAAGAAAGACCTTGTGATCTGCTTCCTTAAAGACAACATCCTAGAAAGCCCAAGGGGCAGTTCTACTTTGTCACATAGGGTCATTATGAGTTGAAAATCAATTCAGTGGCACCTAACAACAGAAATGTAAGAAATATAGTTTACAATTTTAAGTGAACAATCATGGTTCTTTGTACAAATATTTTAACAGACTTAGTTTTCTGCAGCAATCCAAGGAATCAGGGTTGTAAATTATTGGCCCTTGGAATTATTAAAAGAAACCTCTTAATATTATAGGCAAAATCTTTATCTTTTTAGTACATTGTTAAGTGCCATCACAACCCTGTATAGGGTTTCCAATGAGAGGCTGGTGGATTTGAATCGCTGACCTTGCAGTTCAAAGTGACCTTGCTGTCCAGTGCACACCAGGATTCCTTCCTGGTGTACACAGACTTGGATTAAAATTTAACATTAATAACATAATGTAGAATATGGATAGATGTAACTTAAAACGTTTATGATAACTGCTATGTAAATATTTACTAACCTTTGATACTGTTTTGAACTTGTGGTTGGAAAATGTTTTCATAGGGGCTTAAATAGTCATTACTTTAGGGTTCATGCACCAAAATCTAGGTAACCTTTATAGTCTCAAAACCCTAAGGAGCAGTTCTACTGTACACTATAGGGTTGCTGTGAGTCAGAATCAAATTGATGGCCATGGGTTTATATAACAAGAGGGAGTCTCTGAGTGGCGCAAACAACTAAGCCCTTCGCTACTAACCAAAAGATTAATGGTTCAAATCCATCTAGAGGCCTCGGAAGATCACAGCCTATGGAAACCCTGTAGAACATAGTTCTCTCAAACACATGGGGCTGCTATTAGTCAGAACTGACTTGGTGTCATCTGATTGGTTTTTTTCTTTATATCACAAGAGAGAAAAGTCCTCCCCTGCTTTATCTTGTTTCTCTGGGACAGGCTCTCCAGGGTGGTGGTCATGCTTTATGCTCAGTTGACTGAGACATTTTTAGAAGGAAAGGTCTGATAGGGGATGTGTGGCCACTGTGACCATTGTCCAGTGATACCCAGATCCTGATATGCCTGTTTCTCCTGGGGAGCTCAGCTGACTAATGGCAAGGCACCTCAGTATGTTGCCAACTTCCACACTGAAATTCCATGGCTTGGTGCCCAGTATTTGCCAACAGCAGAGTCCCCAGCATACGGATGGTGATCAGTCAAATCCTGGGCATCTGCAAAGCATAACCCCAGCCAGGGAGTCAGGCACAGGGCCAATAGGAGACACTGACAGAAGCTGATATGTTAGTTTGGTTTCCACAACTCAGTGCTAGCTTGCTCTAGCAGTGCCCACAGGTCATATCAGACAGGCAACAGGTCAGACTTGGCTGTAGTTTTCCAGCCCTAGCTCTAGCCCTGAGCTTTCTAGAGTAAGATCCTGCCTTGTGAGCCCCAGAGTAGGGATCCAAAGCAGTTGTGTCTCAGGACAGACCATATTGACCTTGCATCTCCCTTACAGAATCAAACCAGAAGATGCCATGGACTTTGGCATTTCACTCCTCTTCTATGGCCTCTACTATGGAGTTCTTGAGCGGGACTTTGCAGAAATGTGTGCAGACTACATGGCGTCTACCATAGGGGTGAGTTCACCTGATCTGCTAATACTGTCTTGTGTACCTTCAAAGAGTTCATGATAGCATCCTGAGTGACAGAAGAGAAAGACAGTAAAGAATGAGATTACTGTTGTTATTAAGTGCGGTCGAGTTAGTTCCAACCCATAGCAACCCTGTATGGGGTTTCCTAGGAGCAGCTGGTGAGCTTGAACAGCTGACTTTGCAGTTCAGACCAATTTTTGTAGTCCAGTACATTAACCCACAGCCCCACACCAGGACTCCAAAGAACGAGATAAGCCAGATAAAATTCTTCCAGTTATTGGTGATATGTATGGAAACTCCTTCTTGAAAAACATGAAAATCAGACCTCAGATATACTTTGAAAATTTTAACTTTAGTGTCATTATAGCAAAGAACCACTTTAAAAGCAGATAGTTAACATTCATTCAGCAAATATTTATTTAATGCCTTCTATATGCCTGAGCTGGAGTCCTGGTGTGGCGCTGTGGGTTAATGCACCAACTGCAAAGCTGTCTGAACTGCAAGGTCAGCAGTTCAAGCTCACCAGCTGCTCCTCAGAAACCCTATACAGGGTCACTATGGTTTGGAACCGACTCGATGGCACTTAACAACAACAACAATAACAGATGCCTGAGCTACCAATGATTGTGAGAATGACACAGGACCAGTGTTTTATTCTGTTCTACATGAGGTTGCTGAGCACTATGCTAGATGCTAAAAACATAAAGGGGTACAAAAATACATAGTTCTTGCCAAAAAGGAGTTTACTTGCTAGTGGGAGTGTATTATAAAATTTCAACTTTTATTAGTATTATGAAGGGAAGATTCATGATGCTATGAACAGATATAAAACTGGTTAACCTAATCTAGAGGCTCAAAGATGGCTTTCCTGAAGATGTGACTATTGAGTTAAAACTTGAACAATGTGTAGTAATTAAATGAAGTGGGAAATGAGTATACCAGATAGAGAAGATAGCATGTATAACAGTCCTGTGGTGGGAGTTTATGAGGAACTAAGACTAGATTGGTTGTAAGGATGAGGATGTGGTAGAAATGTTTAGAAAAAATAGGAACTAGACTAAGAGAGTATAGTTTTGAAGATGCTCAGGGTGTTGACAATTTAGAAGGAGTAAGTTTCCAAAGGAGTTCTGGTGTGGCACTATAGGATTAGCTGTGTACTGTTAACCACAAGGTTTGAACTCATCAGCTTCTCCTTGGAAACCCTATCTAGGGTAGCTATGAGTTGGAACTGACTTGATGGCCCTTAACCACAGGCCAGGAAAAGTCTTATAAGCCAAACTAAGAATTTTTATTTTTATGCTAAAACCACTGAGTAGCTTTGGAAATTTTCTAAAGTAGAAAATGATATTATCAGGTTTGCATTTCCAACTCGTTAGGGAAGTGCCATACTCTTTTCCACAGTGTTGGCACCATTGTACAGTTCTACCTGCAGTATATAAGGGTTCCAGTCTCACCACACCCTTGCCAGCATTTGTTGAGTACCTAACTTGGAGTTCCTGAATGAGGCTAATGTGACTTAACAGACCACCCCTCAGCCCTACTCCAGCTGACTCTTAATCTACCTCTGTATAGTAAGTGCCATCTTAGGACCCATCACCTAGAATCCACCTAGATAACTATTGTCTTCCAAATATGAGACCCAGAGCCTGTGTTCCTTACTTTAAAAAACAATGTTATCTCCCATTTTCCATCCATCTTCCCATTCCCCTGGTACTTCAGGCCAGCGTTCTGAATCCCGATAACTTCTATGAGAATCTCCCCTTGGTAATTGACATGGAGAATGACTGCCCTTTTCAGAGGAGACCATTTGCCTATCAAAAGAGATGTGACCTTGCTGACTCTTAACTGTAGACAAGCAGTGTGTCATTTCCCAACCCCACATTGGGGGGTGGAGAGGAGTTCTAGGATGACATGTGATAATACCTGGTGAGTCACCAGGGGTTGATTGTCCAGTATTTCCCATAACAAATATTGCGGAGACTTACTCAATAACAGACTCTGATAGGTCTTAGGATGCCAACATTATCAGACTAGGCTGGGATCTAGAAGAAGGGACTCTGGCATTAATAAAGGAATGGATTGTGCTTCCATTTTGGTTCTTTCCAACCTTAAGAATTTCTGTAGTTTATTTCTGCCAAGGCTTTGGTCAAGTGAACCTTGCTATATATACTCAAGATCATTTGGGTCCCTGAGCCAGGGTAATCTGTATTTCAGGAATATCCCTGGTCTTGAATGGTTTGGCGAAGGCAATTCAAGGAAGCCAGAAAACTCCATCCTTACATGCATTCATTACCTAACTTTTCAGTTGTTTGCACATGCTGTAATCATAGCTCCTTATCCTGGAGAGTCATAGTTGGTTTTGGAACTGTTTCCTCTACCTCACTTTGAGGTCAGGAATTATGTCTGATTTATCAGGTATGCTAATAGGTCTCAGCGTACCTGTCTCTGAGAATGGTTGAACCTGACAAGGTCCCTGTGATTAAGTAATTTCAGCATTCCAAGGTTTTATCATTGTATTACAAGCTTTCACACTTCTTTCCGCTCCTGTTGACAGTAGAATTGCTTTTTGTTCCTCCTCATATGGATAAATCTAAAGAGGAGCCTGGACAGCATCTGCTTTTTTTTTTCTCCAGCTGGTCATCATGAGATCATAAGCTTGTGACAGCTAGTCAATATAGTTTCCATTCTCACTTTAAAAAGTCATGGATGGCTGCAAGCAACGTGGGCAGAGGTTGTGAAATAAGCCTACTTTCTGGGCTGCTGCTTCTGAGACAGTCATTGGATACGTGGTATAGAATACATTGTTCATGATGCAGTGGGCTATATATATGTCTTACCTCATACTTCTTTCTAACTCCTGAATAAGTTCCTGTGCATCAGATTTACCTTCTAGACCCTCAGAAACCAGATAATTCAGGACAGGCCTAGGTGCCTCTTCATTTGGATACTTTTAAAGTATTGAATACTAGGAAACCCTACACAGGGTTGCTATGAGTCAGAACTGCTTCCACAGAGCATAACCACCCCTCCCACAAGGAGTTCTGGTAGCATAGTTGTTACAAGTTGGGCTGCTAACCTCAGAGTTAGCAGTACAAAACTGCCAGCTGTTCCACAGGAGGAAGATGAGGCTTTCTGCTCCCATAAAGATTCACAGCTTTGGAACCCCGCTACAGGGTTGCTATGAGTAGGAACTGACTCCATGGCACACTACCATCTCCAGGAATTTGAAGTTATACATCCCTGTTTTCAAATTCTAGTCCACTTTTAATTAGTTGTATACCCTTGGAGTTCTGCAGTGCCGCTGTAGTATAGACACTGGACTGCTAAATGCAAGATTTGTGATTTAGACCTACCAATTGTTTCTTGGAAACACTGTACCAGATCATACAAGTGGAACCTGATTCCATGGCACTTAACAACAACAACAACATGCCCTTGAGCAAGTTCCTTTACCTCTTTGCTCTTTCTTCCTAAGTTATAATAATGCCAAACTTAAAGAATCTTTGTTAGGATCAAATGAATTAATGTAAAGTACCTAGTAGCCGTTCTATGGGAGACAGATGAGGCTTTTTGCTCCCGTAAAGATTTACAGCCTTGGAAACCCTGTGCAGCATTGCTGTGAGTCGGAACCGAATCCACAGCACATAACAACAATAACAACAACCTAGTAGAACAGTCTGGCTGGCCTGTAGCAGTCACTGTATATCTAGAATCATCTGGAGTACAGGTGTTCTGTAGGATTTATCTTTTTTTCATTCACAAAACAGAATCCAGATTTATTATCTCTCTAACATAAAAAAAATGGAGTCTTGGAATGGCACTGAAGACTAGTGCGCTGGACTGCAAAGTCATTTTGAACTGCAAGGTTGGGCGGTACAAGCTCACCAGCCATTCCTTAGAAACCCTATACAGGGTTGCTGTGAGTCAGAACTGACTCAAAGGCACTTAACAACAACACATAAAAATAAAAGAGAAAACAAAACAGAATTTAGAAAACAGTTTCTGGAGGTGGACACGAGGTGGGTTCTTCTGGCTTGTACTTATCATTTTTAGGAACACTCCCGGTAGCCAAGATGGTGCCTCACACTCCAGTCATGACATCTTCCTCTGTCCTGGAAAGATGAAAGAGAAGGGTGAGGAGGGAACGATCTCACCTTCTTTCATTCCAGGAGAACTGCAAATGCTTCACACAATCCTTCTGCTTGGGGCTCAGTAGTCGAAACTTAGTCTCACCTGTAAGGAGACTGTGAATGCAGAATAGCAATATGCCAGACAAAGGGGTCTTCACTGGAGAAGGGCAAATGGATGCTGCAGTCAACCACCACACTTTCTTTAGGACCACAACCTTTGTCCTTCCGTTCCTTGTTTGATTTTGCCTTCCTGGACCTGCTGCGCAGAGTGTTTGCAATTCCTTGACCACCCCCATGCATGCTTTCCTCTAGTCTGCCCACCTCCCAGTGTTGTTTCTTCTTTCTCTATCCAGCTTGAACATGTGCCTGGTTGAACGTCTCCTAAGCATGCAGGATTGATCTTTGTGTGTTTGTCATTCCCAGCACACAGAACAAGACATTCTTAACAGTAATCTTTAAGGGGGCTGATCGCCAGGTCTCTTCTCTCACAGAGTGGCTCGGTGGGCTCTAGTCACCAGCCTTTGTCTGTGTTACCAAAGCTTCTCACGACTAGACAGAACAGTCAGAACCTTTAAATAATGAATCATGAGTAACTGCCAACTGATACCATGTAGCTGAGGTCATTTCAGACTATTCTGTATTATGGAATCTTCTTGACTAGAACCCTCAGAAATGGGTTTTGATTTTACTCAGTTTTTCAACAAATATTTATAAAATCTGCTTGAGTTGTCTGGGCACAAGGCTCCTGGCTTCAGTGCTGCCGCCGGTTTTCTAAGGTTGGGCAAAGCTCTCCTGTGAGCATCTGTTAAGAAAGGGGATTAAACTAAAAATACACAAAGCTCACATGACATATTT